TAATCATTAATATTCCTATTTCGTGATCTTTTTAGAATTAGGGTTAGAGTCAAAGTCGGTCAACTGGAGGCGGTGTGTGTTATATTTACAGCCAACAAATTTCGCCCGGTGTATGTTCAAAAGTCGAAGAAAGAAATGAAAAAAAATTTGCAGTCAACAATAACAAAAAGGGGGGAAAACCGCCATATTTAAATTTATGTTGATGTTGCACATCCAAATCGGGCGTTACTTTCATATGATCGATGGCCCAGTGGTGACTTGTAATCGTCAATCAAATTTGATTGGTTATTGCAATAAACCACTTAACAAATGACGCATAACTTAATATAATCACGTGATTTTTTGCAAGTGATCAAATCGATTTTTGATTTTTGGGTGATTAGCGTCTTTAAATGTCCAACACTGTAGTACCCTGGCCATGGCAAAAAATGGGCGGTTCACGCGATATTTTTTGTATCTCCGGAAAATTTCTACGATAAAGGTTATTGATAAAGGTTAATTTAAAGGTTAGTATTAGGGTTAGGGCTAGAGCTGGGGTCAAGATTATATGTAAAATTGCCTTCCCGACTCTTTTTTTAGTGTACCAATCTGGATTTAGTCATCTGTTTCCGTATTTTTACATTTTTTGCTTTTTTCATTTATTGTGTCGGATTTGTTTTGGTTTGTGCCACCAGCAGCACGTGAACCGCCCCTTTTTTTTGCCATGGACAAAATTAGCTATTTGATAAGTCACTAAATTTAATATTAAAATAAAGTTATTTAGTAGGTCACTTGAGGTTACTTTGAGGTCATTCTGCGGTCACTGTCCAACACTGGTACTACATGTACTTTGGAAATTCGGAATGATAGCGATAGATGTTATGCACCATACAATAATGCACGTCAAGTACATGTACATACGGTCGGTACATGTACATACGGTACACGTACATAACAATAACGAGACGAGCTAAACAACTGAATCTACCAGAATGTCGATAGAAACTGCAATTTCAGAACACCATCTCAAATATTTTGATTTTAACGCTTTTAAAGATAGAGAAGTAATTGGAAATGGGAATTTTGGCGAAGTATATAAAGCAACTTTAAACGACGACTTGACGGTAGCTTTAAAAGGTCTTTATGTAAAAAATAAAAACTATGAACGAAATCAAAAAGAATTCGTTAATGAGGTAAATTTATTACTTTATCTGATAGTCAAACCGCAAATAATAAAACTCTATATATCAAATTAGTTAAAATTCCTTATTCGAGTTCATTATCATCCAAACATTATTGATTTTTATGGAATTACTAAAGGTAAATGTCACAATTAATATATTATCGTTATCGGTAAATCTATGAATAATGTTATCAACTTCGACTCTATCAGATCCCAGTATTCAAAAATACATGTTGGTTTTTAATTATGCTAATGGCGGAACCCTTCGAGATTATCTGGAAGAAAACTTCATTAAATTGAAAGCAATTGACAAGTTGTCTTTAGCCCGACAACTTGCAAAAGGGGTAAAGTGTATACACGATGAAGGCATTATTCATAGAGATTTGGTAAGAATCTTATTCATTTCTTTCAACTTTGAGTAGAATTTATTTAATCTTTTATTTAATTTTCTCATATCAAAGAACCATAATAATATCCTTGTTCATAACGGAGAAATCAAAATCGCAGACTTGGGTTATTCAAAACTCTCAAATGATGATTTTAATTCGAAAACTGATTATGGAATTACAAGCTATGTTGATCCAGCTTTTCTAAAGGATCTGGATAATTTTCGACGAGACGAAAAGTCGGATATTTATAGTGTTGGTGTACTATTATGGATGATTTCTAGCGGTCGTCCCCCATCTAATAAATGTGGATACGCTGAAGAAAATATTCTCGAGAAAGAAATGAGAATATTTGGAACTCCTCCTGAATATGTCGAGCTCTATCAAAATTGTTGGGACAATAAACCAGCAAATCGCCCAGATATAAATAAAGTAAATCAAGATCTAAATACAATAGTATGGTCACCAAAATCTCCTGTTTTCGTACCTGAAACTTTATCCGAAGTATGGCCATCAATCTCTAACGAGCCATTATCGGAAGGTTTAGATGTATCATGTGAAGAAGATTCTTGTGAAGACTCTGAAAAATCTTTTCATAAAAAACTTTCAAGTCCGAAAAATACACCTGAAATTATTGTGGATGAATTATTAAATTTACTAAACAAACAACTTGATTACGAAAGAAATATCTTGACTATTGGCAGATCGCTACAATCATATTATCAACAGAACACCCCAGATTCTTTCGATGCTTATAAGTTTTATACTTTTTTACACAATTCTAAAGACAAAATTCAATATTCGACACTCTTAGGATTTTTATATTATACTGGTTGTATAATAGATAAAAATTTAGAGTTTGCAGCAAAATTTTTCAAAGAGTCAGCAATCAACAATCATGCTATGGCGCAATATCTTATTGGAAAATGTTATGAAGAAGGAATAGGAGTACAAAGAGACCCCGAAAAAGCATTTCAGTGGTATATTAAATCAGCGGAGGGGGGAGATTCTAGGGGAAAATGTGGCCTTGGTTTTGCCTATTATAACGGTATTGGGACAGAGAAGGATGAAAAGAAAGCATTCGAGTGGTACTCGAAATCAGCAGAAGGTGGAAACGCAGCTGGACAATGTACTCTTGGTTTGTGTTATCATGATGGAATTGGAACCCAGAAAGATGAGAACAAAGCAATCGAGTGGTATCTGAAATCAGCAGAAGGTGGAAGCGCAGCTGGACAATATAATCTTGGTTTGTTTTATGGAAATGGAATCGGAACACAAAAAGATGAGAGAATATCATTCGAGTGGTATCTGAAATCAGCAGAAGGTGGAAGCACAGCTGGACAATGTAATCTTGGTTTTTGTTATCGAAATGGAATCGGAACACCAAAAGACGAGAAAAAAGCATTCGAGTGGTATCTGAAATCAGCAGAAGGTGGAAGTGCAGCTGGACAATGTGGTTTAGGTTTTTGTTATCAATGTGGAATCGGAACACAAAAAAATGAGAGAAAAGCATTCGAGTGGTATCTGAAATCATCAGAAGGTGGAGACGCAGCTGGACAATGTATTCTTGGTTTTTGTTATCGAAATGGAATTGAAACACAAAAAGATGAGAGAAAAGCATTCGAGTGGTATCTGAAATCAGCAGAAGGTGGAAACGCAGTTGGACAATGTGACCTTGGTTTATGTTATCGAAATGGAATCGGAACACCAAAAGACGAGAAAAAAGCATTCGAGTGGTATCTGAAATCAACAGAAGATGGAAACGCAGTTGGACAATATAATCTAGGTTTGTGTTATGAAAATGGAATCGGAACACAAAAAGATGAGAGAAAAGCATTCGAGTGGTATCTGAAATCAGCAGAAGGGGGAAACACAGCTGGACAATGTGATCTAGGTTTGTGTTACCGAAATGGAATCGGGACACAAAAAGATGAGAGAAAAGCATTCGAGTGGTATCTGAAATCAGCAGAAGGTGGAAACGCAAATGGACAGTCTAATCTTGGTTTTTGTTATCGAAATGGAAACGGAACACAAAAAGATGAGAGAAAAGCATTCGAGTGGTATCTGAAATCAACAGCTGGCATTGGAACACAAAAAGATGAAAAAAAATCATTCGAGTGGTATCTGCAATCAGTAGAAAGTGGAAACGTAGCTGGACAATGTGGTTTAGGTTTTTGTTATCAATGTGGAGATGTAGCTGGACAATATAATTTTGATTTATGTTATCAAAATGGAATCGGAACACGAAAGAGAAAACATTCGAAATCAGCAGATGTTGATATTATTAAAATGGAATTAGAACACAAAAAGATGAGAAAAAGCATTGAAATCAGTCATAGTTGGTTAAAATAATCTTGTTTGTGTGAATGATATTTGAATCAGAGAACGGAAGTCTAATGAACAATGAATTTTGGTATTCGTTATGAAGAACTGGTGTTTCCAATGATATCAATAATAAATTAGTTTCTTTAAGTTAGAAATCATTTTTCAATCACTGGTATTTTATTTATTAGAATACAGAAAACTTTTGAGTAATTAAATCGAAACTAGTAAAATTTATCGCTGTTTGCGTATCCCTGCAACCCCATCGGGCATTTTGTAAAAATAATTTCACAATTTCGTTTTTTCTAAATTTTCACTGATCACCTTTGTTTTTTGTTGATTAACGGAAGTTCAGATTAATACTCTTACATTAAATATTTCATTATTTCAGTTTCTCTCTATTTGGAAATAAGAACTTTAATATCGATTTTGATTTTGTAAAATCGAGAAAATCGATTTCTTAGTATCGATTTATGAATCAATACATGTATTTTCTTCAAACTCGATTAATAATACATAAAATTGCTTCTTATGATGAAAATAATCAAATCTGAATGATATTGATATAAATTTGAGAACAATAAAAACAAACTCTAATATAATAACGAAAATATAATGTAATACTATTCTGTAATACTATTCTGTACTAAGAACAGAATTAATTCGACCCAAAATCAGTTTTGATGATTTTGATTAATTGAAGAACAATATCGATTATTAAATAATCGATTCTAAGAATCAATTTTTGTTCTTCCAATTTTGTTCTTCAAATAAATTATAATAATTAATTCTGAATAATTGATTACTTCAAGCTATTGTTATTAAAAAAACAACAAAAGCAATCAGTGAAAGAAAATGGGAAATCAAAAAAGTGATGAGATCGCAGAAATATGCAAGCAGTGATAATTCAATAAATACAAAGTTAAATTTCGTGAATTAACACCAAGTCGATCAATGTCCAAAAAAGTGTTGATATTGATACCTAAAAAAAGGCAAACACGTAAAATGCACGTAGGCACGTAATCATGACAGACTCTGTATATATAAGCAAAAACTGCCAAATGAACCAGTATAAAGAACCTTCTCACCAATAACAGAAATAACCATGAACTGGCCAGATGAGAATGAGAAAAGTGACGCGTGTGGACAATCATGATAAAAACGCTCTAAATTAACATTAATATATTTATTTTTGTTAATGGACTGGATTGGATGCATTGGACACTTTTGGATTTGATGTCAAATCCAATGTCTAACATCCAACTGATCAATTAAACCATTGAATGTCTATCGAATGCCATATTACACGTGTTATATATCATTCTTGGATATAGCGCTCTATTATATATTCATGGCGGGTTATTTGGTCATTCACAGGAATTTGTTCTTGGGCGAAAAGAAGTAGCACAGCAGATTGGTTGGATTGCGTTGGCAGTGGCTAGTTTTACTTGTGGTTGGTTGGCATTGTCAAGCATTTTGGATTTATAAAAGGGATATTTAATAGTTTTTAGCATTAACTTTTTAGTGAATCTAGTTATACTTGAGTTTTTATTGGAATTTTTGAAAGAATAAACAAATTTCATCTAAAGGAATTTTATTCATAGTTCAAATTTATCAAGATATTTAGTGAAATCCTTCGTGCATTATGCTTATTTCAAATACAAAAAAAATAGCTTCATTACGGCCGTTTGCATGTTTATGGGTTTTTATTTATTCCGTGATTAATATGATTATTCCATCTCCAAAAAAAAACTTTTATAAAATAATTGGGCTTTGTTTTGCTAATTACATTTAAAATTTCTCCGGCAAAAGCACGTTTAACATGTTTTGTTCGCTTTTATTTTGAGTCTTTTTGCAATCACAGCCAGTTACTGAGGCGTTTTCATCACAATATACATCCACAACATGTACCAATATAATATGTTTGTTGGTTTAGGCAGTTGTATTTTAAATTATCTAAAAAAAATCTGTTAAAAGACACACGGACACTCGGCGGAACAAAGGCACCGGACACTTTAATAATTTGACAATCACTATAAATGAGTTAATCTATAATTTCTCGCAGATGTTCAATAACTCTCTAGGAATTGCTTCTTCCAATGTTGTGTAAATTTTGCGAAAAATTGCTTGTCACATCTAATGATATACTTGACGATGACGAAACCTTTCGTCACGACCATTTTGAAATGTCTGACGATGATGACCATTTTTGGAAATGAACGAATGCATATTTAAATATCAATACCTACATGTAACACATGTACACGAAACCCTTTCACCATGGCCACTTTGGATATGTAATTGGCGAATGACGAATCGTCTAACGAATGACATTTTGGCAAACTAAACCATAAAAACAATAGGTCAAGTCAAGCTTATCGATTTATCGTTTATTTTTTGCATAATTTTTACCATGTATTTAAAATTATACTTTTTTCATAATGCTGGCCAAATTCAGCATAATTTTGATCGTCCATGAATGACGTGACGAAACCTTTCGTCATTATTAAAATAGTTTTATCAGGTATCATTAGTCACGCCCCGTTTTTTTGAATACATTGTTCCAATTCAGCACATAATGCTTGATTTAGTCAATTTGGACCCTAGGTCTGTCAATCGATCCATTCAGTCTGATTCTGTCCAAAGACCGGACAGAATCACGATCCCAACCTGATGAGGACCGAGTTGAATAATGCATTTGGGCGACCCCAAAAGTTCGGGTCACGTGATATTTTTTGATGATGTCAGCGATGATGACCAATTAAATTGCAAGATCATCGTGTAACACAAAAATTCAAAAATAAACAAAACAAAGGCATATTTTTGAAATAAAAGCTTGTATCTCAAAATCTAGCCTATGAAACTATCTTTTGTGTTCTAATAAAAAAATGTCCCTTGTGAAATTTTACTATAAGTACATTTTTTGTTTGTCAAATAACCTTGATCCAGATCCAAACCCTAACCCTTTTCGCATTGTGACGTCATCAAAAAATTATCACGTGGCCCGAACTTTTGGTGGTCGCCCTGGCGGATTCCTAGAACAAATGAATTAATCAATTCATAGTTTAATTTTATTCTATTGGTGTTTTTCTTTTAGTTAATTACGATCATTGGACACAAAAGCTCATTTTTAAAAAAATTGATTTGTCACTTTTTTATTGACTTCACCCCAAATATAAATGCAGCACATAATATAGATTCCAAAATTCACTATATCGATATATAAAAAGCCAGCACTAACAGGTAAGCGACCATTTTGTGATATACGACATCTATAAAGAAGTATGACCTAAGAAGCCAAATACAGTTCTTGGATGGTGTAAATTTATTTTTGAAAAATGTTGGGACCCTATTCCAAAAAAATAGAGCTTAGAACCGGATTCAGTTCACCGAATCAAACCAGGATTCACAGTTTACCCGAAATAATACACCAATTTAAATTGAACTTTATTAATAGTTTAAATATTTTATTTGCTATTAAATTCACGTTTCGATCACATCGCTATTGACTATGTTAATTTCAATAGCATTCATTATATTTCATCCAGATTTGTGCAATCCCGGATACCCTTTCAAATGACACGGATATCCGGGTGAAATTTTTTATACTGTTCCAATTCCTACAAAAAGCAGACCAACTGTTGAGGAACTAATGACTTTATTTACTCAGAAAAGTGAAAATTGAACACTTTGCATTTTCAGTATTACAGCGCTTAAAACACAAACTAGAAAGGCATAAAATGAAATCGCGAAGAAACATTCTTATACCAGTCAAAGTTTAGTACAAAATAACTTCAATCCTAAATGATACATCTCCAAATATAAATCACAGTTGACATTTATAAAATTTATTTTGAATGTTTAGGCTCTACAAGCGTCAGTCTGCATGTTCAAAACGAAGGTAAAATTGCTCTCTATACGTATTATTTTTTCATTAATTGATGTTTTTGCTATTATTTTATTAAAACATATAAAATATTTTTATTTCGTACTTAGGAACGACTTCAAATATTTTATGTAAATATCTTTAAGTAATTCATAATTTTATTTTTTTACATTCATTGTAAAGTTTAATGATCATGTTTGCCTATTTGATCGGATAAAAGTACACGATTATTCAATTTTTAAACTTTCCTTTTCTTTCGCTGATTACCTTTGTTTTTGTTAATTTCCGGAAAATCAGAGCTTTATTATATACATTATATACAGTCGTCCCCCTCTATAGTCACATCCTTCGGTACCCGGTGATGGTGTGACATGCTTATATGGAGATTTTTATTTAATGGTCACGTATTAGGAGTAACTATAGAGTGGGACGAATGTTATTTTACCTGAGTTTGATTTTTATTTTAGGGATAAAACCAATTAATCAAGGAAATTGATTCTTAGAATCGATCCAAATCCCTAAAATAAAGAGATTAATATATAAGAGTATTTACTAAACAAAGTAATAGCGAAAAAAAAAAGAAAAGTGATATTGCTTTTATCCGATCAAATATGCAAACAACGATAGATGAATCTATACGATATATGTAAGAAAATAAAATTATGAATCACTTAAAGATATTTACATAATATCGTAATGAAATCTTTCTTCGTTTATTTGATTCCGACATGTTTTCAAAAGGACTTTTAAATCTAGTTTCATTAAAAAAAATCAAAGATAGAACACGATATTTTAAAATTTGAGACTCTTGGCGTTTTTTTTACCATTCTTAATATAAAAGACATATACTGACATTATAAACTAAAAAAAAAAATACGAGCAAAAATTATCGTTACTGTATACAGTCGTGGCAGAGCTAATAAATTGTACCTTAATTTGCTTACATATGCTAAAGTTGTATCCAAACAAGCATTTTTAATGCTTTAGTAAATTAATAGCAATTATAAAAACTCATAATTACATGATTTCTTTGCTAATACAGTATTTCTGGGAAAAAATAATAGACTTATAAAATCAATTAACGAAATTCATGAAAAAAGTAATTTTATCTTCATACCCTAAACTTTAATTTGGTACAATTTTTGTTTAGTAAAACTGACCTATCAGTATTGATTTAAGAGATAGTTCGCATTTACTAATTTCCCCGAAGTTTTGATTGTTGAGGTAATTAAAGGTTAGTTTTAGCGTTAGGGTAGGGTTAAGAATATAGCGCAAAGGTATATGTGAAATTGTCTTCCCGACGTTTTTTATTAGTGTCTCAAGCCAGGTTTATCCATTCGTTTTCCGTATTTTTCACATTATTCGCCTTTTAATTTTCTTTGTTTTTCCGGGTTGATCTGTTATGCATCTTTATTGATTGATTTAGAAGACCTGGTTCAAGTCACTAATACACAATTACATTCCGAACAACTCTACTTAAGACACAAAATACAAGTGCCTTAGTAAAAATAAAAGTTATTAACGAAAATCTATTTTACGATTTTCGGGTAAAATATTTAAAGCATTGTATATTTTATGCAAAAAAATATAGTTATTTTTTATTATGCTTACAAATCAATGTACAGTGCAGGCAACAAAAAATTGTTGATTTCAAAACTCTACTAGTCTATTAGTATAAGCAACCTCCCCACTTTTGCGTGTCAACACTTCTCATCGATATACGTAGTCGGCCAAGTAGGTCCAGTAGATAAAGTCGAAAAGTTCCGAATTAGTTGGCAAAAATGAATTTACACCATCCAAGAATTGTAGGCCGTTCTCCTTTATAAATGTCGCATACGAGATTCTATCATGATTCCGTCCACCCACTGATTGGTTGTTCGCCCGTACACGATCATCCCAAAATTATAAATATGGACTTCCATTTAGTAGCACCTCCGGAAGTACTTCGTTTTTTATGTCCGCTGGGCCGGTAAGTCCAACATTGGCAATTTTTGTCCAAGTAATGCAAAAAGTTTGGTCATTATTGTATGTTTTAAGATACGAATATATATGAATACAATGTTTATCCGTTTGAATCAATGTTTTGAATCAAGATAAATAATTAACGTTAACGAATCTAGTTTTCTTTTGAATAATGATAGTTATTCATTTAAATCTATAAAAATAATCTTTTAGCTCATCTGAAATTCAAATAAGAAATTCAATTATTCTTTTCTTGCATATCTGAATATAGAACTACATGTAATTTGCTGATAGACAGATTGAATTTCTACTACATTCGATACTGATTTGCTGGTGAGTTCGGGTTATAGTAATACGATGGTGAATTTTGATTATATTGATATGAAATAGGTCGAAGATTTGTTTGTTGAAGAGGAGGATCAGTTGAAGTATGAGCAAAAATTAGTTCATTGGTCGAATGTCTCAAATTCTCCGACTGTGCCGAATACTCCGAATGTGGAATAATCTCATGAGCAGAAGAATCAGATTGACGACGACGACGACGAATGATGAAATATATCTCAAAAGTAATGAGAGCAATGAGAGCAAGGCCACCACCGATTGCACATCCAAGAATTAAACCAAGCTTTGTTGGGACCCCTTTTTTTATTTTGTAAGTAGGAACCCAGGCTAACGAGTTTAAATTCGTAACATCCATAACTTTTACCTCAGATGTGTAAGAATAATTAGTTCCGTAAGTTCCTGCAAAATAAAAATTAAAATAAATAAGAGAAAAGTGATACAAAAGAATAAAAGAAATTAATAAAACAATAAAATATAAGATTACCAAAAGCTATAACCATATATCCATTATGTATAACCGCAGTATGACCTCTTGTCACAGTAATGGAAGGTAAGCTAGGGACTGATGGCCGGGACCACGTCCAATTTTTGGTGGTACTCAATATCCATACCGAGTCCGAATCGGGAATTTCTCCGTCGGAAACGTAAAACCCGCCATACATAATAATAGAAGTGGAATCCATGTCTTTTATTTCAAAAGAAATCATATTAGTCATTTTTATTTTTATTTATACAGATAAAATTGAAATATTATTACGAAGCAATGCTGAATGTCCCTGTCGATTTTTTATCGGTTCATTACTTGTAGATAACTAAATAAAATAAATTTTAATACGCATGTGTATATAACACGTATTTAGAATTATTGGCTTACTTGAGTACTCCATTCAAGTTTGGTGGTATCAAATATTAACAACTAAATAATTAATAACTAAATTAGAATAGATTCATAAAATAAAATAACAGTTATAATATTTAATCACACTACCTCTAAAAAATTAACATCCGGATATGGATCGCTACTATTTCCGCCAATATAAATGATTCGACCATCATCTAATAATGTAGCCGAATAAGATGCTCTCGGATCCGGTGCATTATCTAGAGTATAGTTTTGCCATTGATTCGCTTCGAACATATACATTGTTTTATTATCTTGACCCTCATTACGCCCACCCCATACAAAGATTCTCGAAAGTTTATCGATAATTGGAAATATTCCATCTCGTGCACTTGGCCATATGTCACCTTGGTTTGGCGAAAATTTTATCCAATTGAGAGAATTGTCCCCGGATGGTTCTATTTTGTACAACGTGTTTAATTTGGGCAATCCCTTTTGAAATGCGTATAATAAACGATTATTAAATATTTTACTGCTGATTAGATGAAAAAGAATTCGAAATTTACCGCTTGTGAGCCATCAGTCCCACCAAATATATAAATCGTATTATTTTTTTCTAGACAAGCAGCAGTCCAGGCGGGTGATGATGGCATATTTTCAAGTCCAACAACTTGAATAAAATTTGCATTAACTGCTGTAAAGTCTGATGATAAATCTAATATAAACGGAATAATTTTTTGAGGAGGCTCTCTTCTGCCACCAATATAATAAATTTTATCTCCTATCAAAGCTGCATTGGTTCCATCGCGTGGAAGCGTAGAAGTGTCAAGTGAATCGCATTGAGAAATTAAAATACTAACATTAATGCTAATAATAATAATAATTATTTTGAATAATAAATTCATTTTTAAATAATATTAATCAAAAAGTTAATAACAATACGTAAAGATTTTATAAATAAAATTAATAATGATACACGTAATATATATTCGGTTAGAATTTAGTATATATCGATATACAATAATTTTAAAAGAATGATTCAAAAGAATGATCGAAAACAATCATTAAAATAATTCAAAATAAATGATCAAATTGCACTTGAAATACACAGACTTCAAACAAAAGTGAAGCGTGTTCAAATTAATCACCTCTAATTGATTTATCTTTTCATTCAGCTAAGGGGTTCCTCTTTAAATGCAACTTGGAAGTTGATGATCTACACTATCCGAAACATGCGTAGTCACATTATTTCAATTTATTGCATATCGATATGGTTCATTTTAAAAAGAAGCCATACCGATATGCTAATTAATTACATATGATGTAAACTAGTTCTTTCTATCATTCGAATCTCAGACTTTGATATAATTCCTATTTCTCGATATTTCTGTGTTACGTAATTATTGATTGTTATACATATACGTATTAACGTTGATGTTAATAGAACTTCCATTAAACACCGATTGTTTTTATCGCTAATACTAACGTCTTTTTGCAATAGCGATAGTATTTTCGCATTTTGCTAATCATTAGAGAAACGATAAATCGTTTGTTGTTTATTGTGATGTGTTATTTATGAATGTGTTATTTATGAATGTGTTATTTATGATATGCCGTGGAAACTATTTGAAAAAAAAGTAATTTCGGCAAACAATTCAAATAATCCTGAATTTATAACGGTAACATTTTAATAAATATAAAAACCTATCTTAAAGTGTTTATTTCAATTTATGGAACTCAAATAATTTTGAATATACTATTAAAATAAGCTTAAACAGTTTCTTTTAGTTTAGGGAACTCGAATAATTTTGAATATACTATTCAAATAAGCTTAACCAAATTCTTTTAGATTAGGGAGCTCAAATAATTTTGAATATACAATTCAAATAAGCTGGCTTTATTAAGAAGGACAGTTTCGACAGCATGTATATGCGAAATTGCATAAATTTAAACTTTCAATTTGTCAGGAAATTTCACCTACAATTAAAGACATTGTTCTCCCCCCCCACCAAACAACATCTAAACCTTTATCCACTTGAATATACTCACGTCACGCCTTTAGAGTACATTTATTACAATGATTCAAATTCGGAACATGTAGTCAAATTTTATGGAATAACAGCAGATAGCATGGAATATTTCTCAGATGAATGTTTATAATTACTTGTATATAATAAATCATCGTAAGGCTTATGTCTGGTTCAAAATGTCAGGCAGCTGGTCTGAAAAATGCTTTTGAAACCCACTTTTTCTTCGAAGCAGGCTGCAAAATTCAACCCAAGGCAGTGACTAAAGCATTCGAATGTTATTTGAATTTGCTGATTCAGAAAACCCAGAAGCTTGTTGAAATGGTATTGAAGCGAAAAAAATGTCTTGCTGACGCGCTTAATATGTGTGCCAAATGTAATAGAAACATTGTAGAACGCAATTTTGACGGAAAAATAATTTATTGACTTGATGGATGCAAAATAAACTCAAAAACATATTTAACTTAACACAGAATCAAGTTTCACTAACTAGGCCGAAATTTAAAAACTGATTGTAAGACAAATTGAAATTCAGTTTATCAACTTACTGTAATAAAGATGATTTTTTACTTGAACATAGTAATAATAACATTAACGTTAACAAAGGATACAGATTAGTGCTAAAGCTGGGGATGCGAGATAAAGTAGGATGCGTACATAAACCAAATTTTTTTGGATTGTGTAAATTTGATATCGATGAATTTATAGAGCAGGTCTTTTAAAGGTTCGTCTTTTAGTTTCAGTATAAAAATAAACCAAAATTTCACTGAGGTTTCGAGCTTTATAATAATACATACAAACGACGCATGTCGATATGTCAAATTAGTTGATCTATGTTATAAAACTACATATGTACCAATAGCGATAGCGATAAATATCGATATATAATAGGCGCCATAAGTAGGGTTGTTAAGGGTTCATATTATAACGGAGCAAGGAGTCAATCGAATTGAACCCGCTCCGGGTTTTGCTCAGCTACTCCGGAGTATTTATAAAAGTCATATGATTGGATAAAAGCTAAACAAAATACTTTTATTAATAAACAAGTTTCATATTCTTATTTCAAAAATAAATAAGATAAAAAATTTATAATTTTCTGATTCTAAAAAACAAGCTTCATACTCGTATTTCAAAATTAAAAAATTAGGAAACAATAATCAGGAATTTATTTACCCACATCCGCTTGGTCCTACAATTGTTGTCTTTTTCTCTTTTGTCATAAAAAACTAACGCTAACAATACTACCACAGAAGTGATTGCTTTTTATTTTTTTTATGATTTTTTAGATTCACTGCCCCCGGGTATAGGTGCATTACCACTAAAGTGGATGGATGCACTACCACAGAGGTGATCATTTTTTATTTTTTTTATGATTTTTAGATTCACTGCCCCGGGTATAGGTGCATTACTACTAAAGTTGATGGATGCACTACCACAAAGGTAGAGGTGGATACACTACCACAGAGGTGATTGCTTTTTATTTTTTTTTATGATTTTTTAGATTCACCGCCACGAAGGTGATTTCTTATTTTTTTATATACTATTTGGGAAAGAATCAACAGCAAAACAACGACTCCAGTTTTTACTTTAAAAAAAAACAAGTAAAAAGAAACTTCGAAGAAAGAAAAGCTAAAGAAACAACTCGCAAAACATCGCTCAGCACTGAGTGTAAATAGTACTAGCAAGAAAGAAGTGTGGATATACTACCACAAAGGTGATTACTTGGAAGTCTTACAAGCGAGAAAAGTCAAAGGAAAGAATAACGGGACAAAGTCAGCAGCAAAAAAAAATAAACCAACTCGCGAATAGCGATGGCAAGAAAGAAGTGTGGGAAGAAAAATTAATAATTATATACGTATGTAGATCGTTAACGTTAATAAATAACGACATAACCGACCAATCAGAATTAAAGTAAACTTGTCCAAGCCATGCTTTACTGTTACGTATATGTACTACATGTATTACGCATCGGTATTTACTATTTTTATACAAGAGTGATTAACGATAGCCAATCATCTTGTTATAATTAATTTTTATCCCACAATTTTTGTCAAGTGAAACTCAAGTAATCCAAAATTTGATATATATATCAAATCCACGATATGATAACCGTACTAACACTTGCATTTCAGACGGAAGCATCCCCCGCTGGTCGGGGGCTCTGAACAACCCACCTTCACGCTATGTAAGAGCTTGAAGGAGATGGCGTTGGAGAATCTTCGTGAGACTTTTGTCCGTTTTTGCAATAAGGATCGACAGTAATATACATGTATTTTATGTACGTTGTTATGAAGAAAATAAAAATAAATCAGCTTATGATTGGACGAAAATAATTTTCTCTGATGAAACCAGTCCAGTGTTGAAGTTGGAAAGCAGTCACAGCATCCTGGAGAAAAGTTTAATAGCTTGGCTCCTACCTTTAAAAGTGGACGAAAATCTGTAATGGCTTGGGGTTTTTCGCCGGAAAATTAAAAAATAACTGCAAATATGGTGCGGGAAGTCTAAACTCTACAATAAAATGATAATTTTTAAACCTTTCAACACTTTACAAAAATGAGATTTAAAAAATTAAACCAGTAACTTTATTCTTTAAGATAAGTTCTATTAAACCACTGTTCAAATTTCCAAAAAAAAAACCCTATATAAAAAGTCATAGTGTTGCGATTTCCTTTAAGTTGAGCGAAATTGGGGGATTGTTACTGCAACAAGACTTTGGGAGAGGTTATTAGATTGTGTAGCTTGCGTTTGGATTTTTAAGCCTGTGCCGATATCTATGGATATCATCGATTAAGTTGATTTGGAGGAGAGATTATGTGCTTCAGGTTGGTGTTCGGGAAGAAATTTTGATTGGCTTTTTCTAGTTAAAAGTCTTGAACTCTTAAATATTAAAACAGGTTTACAACAATATTTTAATTTCATATAAATACGAATTCACAAAAAAAAACAATGCCTTTTCTGGTACAAAGGACCCAACCAACCAATATTAATTGGAGGAGGGGAAGGGGAAGAGTTTTACAAGCAATAGAGAATAATTGTACACAAGAATTCAAGTTTAATTTTGCTTGAAAAAGAATTGTATGCAATTTCAATTCTGTTTTTATTAGTAGCCTGAAGGCTATTCTTTTATACATTTCTTTGGTGTTAATATATTGTTATTATTTTTATTTATTATAGTTATTATACCATTTTTAAGAAATACTTTTCTAGCTAAGGGAATGCTTTATTTCTCTAATAAAGAAATCAATGAGAATTAAGCTGAAAATTGATAAGAAAATGCTGTAAATTAATGAGATAATGCTGTAAATTGATAAAAAAAATGCTGTAAATAAATGAGAAGATATGAGAAAAGTGTTATAAAATAATGACAAATATTGAAAAGAATGCTAAAAGATAATGACAAATACTACAAATTAATGGAAAAAATGTAAAATCTGATAAGAATTCATGTTATTTTGTAAAATTAACTGTATTATTAATAATTATTATTATATTATAATATTTATTAACTATATTATTATTACTCAAAATAAAAATTTGCTATTATTTTGCTAAAAAAATCTATAGAATTAGAAAAACTACAATATTATTTATAATTGAAAATAGAAATTTGTACTATTATATTGTAAAATATAATATTATTTATTATTATATTATAAAATATAGTATTATTAACAAATATATTTGGTATTAGTAATTTTCTGAATTTGTTTTCAGTTATTTATCTTAAAAAAACTGTAATTAGAGAAATTAATTTGCTAACAATAACAATAAATAATAAATATTTAAATTTTGTCACTTTTTTTATTTGAATAATTCAAATTTAAAATAAATTATATAAATATTTATTATATGAATATAATTTTATTAATTAATATTTATTTTAATTTAGATTAATATTATATTAGTACCAGCCAAAATTATTGTAAGATAAATTATTTTACTTTATTATATATAATTAAATATCATTATTTTACAAAAAATATAATATTGAATCACTATTAGAAAATTAAAATAGAATTATATATAATTAAATATCATTATTTATTAATTTATTAAAAAATATAATCAAATTAATATTAAAAATTATTTTATCATTTGAATTAGAGTTAATAATAAGATTATATGTAAAATTACTTTTTTGATATTTTTTAATAGTATTTCAAACTAAATATTAATATTTGTTTTATATTTTGTATTTTTTTGTATTAAAGATTATGTAATTTAGTACTATTCATAGATTTTTCAAATAAAAAATTAAAATAAATTACATAATTATTGAGTTTAGCTTTCTGATATTATATTTATTTTAAAATTTTAAAAACTTATTTATTATATAATTAAAAAGTTAACTGAAAATTATGCAAGTTTTTAACAAGATAATATAATAATTTATACTATAAAAGAATGATTAATAAAAAATAAAATCATAATTATTAACTAACTAACTAATTTTCCAGATTTAAATTTAATAGAAAATATTTAGAAGATATTAAAAAATAATATTAAAAAAATGAAATCTTTCTAAAATTTATAAATAAACTTAAGATTATATTAAAAATAAAGTAAAAAAATTTGATATAGTTATTTTAAATAAAATATTAATATGATATTGGAATCAAATAAGAAAAGAGTTGATTAAATATTAAATAAATTATATTTTTAATTTAATATATAAATTAACAAAAGTTAAATAAATTGAATAATAATCATATTTTTTATTTTTAATCTTGTATTGAATAATACTTTTTGAAATATTATATATATAATTAATATTACTGATTACTAAATTAAGCTTGATATAGTAATAATTATTATAAAAAATACTTGCACAAATATACTCTAATACTTGCAAACTTTGATATTAGAAATATATTAAGCTATTTTGCAAAATATTTTTTTTAAAAAAAAATAAAGCTTTTATAATAAATTTATAATTAAAAAAATAAACTAAAAAGAAGTTTTATTAAGCTTCCAGATTTAATTTATTTACTAACTATTAGAAATTTATATCAACTTGAACTAATAATATATAATACTTTTAAGAAAATATCTAAATCTTTGGATTAATTTTTAAAGTTTATTTGAAATAACTTACTTAAATTATTATTAATAATTATAAAATAGCAAAAAATTTATTTGTCTCAAGTAAGGATGCTTGCCTAAATCCTTTCAGAAAAATATCGTCATAATTTTGACGGGTTACACACTAATTGTTAATTAGAATTTTGACATAATTTCAGTTATGACGGGTTTCAAAATTCGTCAGAATTTTGACAGGTTATTTACTAATAATTTATTATAATTTTAACAGAATTTAGACAGTCACTAAGGGATTTTGACAAGCAACCTTAGTCTCAAGTAATATTACTTTTTTTATATTTAATATTTAATATTATTATTTGTTTGTTTAAAAAAAGTAAATAATAACTCAATAAAATATTTTTTATAAAGAAATTTAATTTGATTAATATTCTTATTCATAATGATAAAAGTGTATTTTACTTATTAGTAATAATAAATTTTTTTAATTACTGATTATTATTACTATTTTCAATAAAATTTGTAATTTAATATTATAAATTATAATATATCATAATTTTACTCAATGATATTCATATTAATTTAATATTTTTTTAATATTATATAAACAAATTTTGTATTTATTTAATATTATACAATCTAATTTGATATTATATAATTATATTTTCATGAATATTACTTTTTTTAATTGATAATTAAATTATTTATCAACAAATTATATTTTTTTATATTGTTACAGTTGTAACATAAAAATCGTTAATTCCAAAAATAGTCGAAAAACATAAAATATTTAAAAATATTC